TCTGTAATAATGGTAAATTGTTGCTAGAGCATGAAGTGTTGTCGTAGATTCTATTACTATTACAGTAGAGCATGGTAATCTGGGTAAAAAGACTGTTCATTATTAAAAAATCTTTAAAATTCCTTAGATAGCCTTGAAAATACTAACTCTTTAAATGTTTTCTTGAAATTCTATAAAATGGTTAATCCTTAATCCAATAAATTATTAATCCTTACAAACTGGCAAAAAATGCATTGAGAATAATACTTAAAGTCCTGAATACCGGAATATTTTTATAAACCACAGAACATTTTTGGAAATATTCTGTTGAAAACTTTAACAATAATTAATAATTTGCGTATTAGTTATTTATATCTAAGAGTATGGATATTGCGATGTTTTGCATATAAAACAAGTTAACTTTAAAAATTTGAAAAAATAATATCTTAAAATATAATTGAGGTATGAAGATGATTATATTATAGCATTATATCATGTTATAGCAAATTTCATCTAGTTTCACCACACCCAAAAAGTTTCCTTCGTTCTTATAATGCCGGTTGATACGATTTTATTAGTTAAACACTGTGGCTAGAGAGGTTAAATTGATAAAAATGCAATTTACAATATCATATCTCAAGAACGAATTAAAATATCACCGTGAGGTAAAATCGGCATTAAAATGAAGTTAATTAGCGTTTAATAACTTAAACCATAGATTTTTAACATTATTTATTGCTTAAATTTAAATTAACATATATTTAAACATAGTGAAGTGTAATCTAGTTAGAATAGTCGTTAATATACTCGTTCTCGTTGTGGGCCAGGGCACCGGCGTTTTGTATTTCAAATATTTCATTGTAGTACCACTTGTCTATCGCTGGTACGTGTTTGTTGGCTAAATACATGACGTGATCGTATTTTTGGGATTTTAACTTTCGTTTTTCCTTATACAATTTCTGCTCAAGATTAGGCAATGTTGCTTGTTGGATAGGTTTTTCAAGAATATAATCTAAAAATATGGGAGAACTGACACTCACTTGAATCATCGGAATCTTTTGTCTATCGTATTGAAAGAGGCGATATTTGGAAATTGTGAATTTATTTCTAGTTTTTTTAAACTTATCAATAAAATGACTTTTATAGCCTAGTAACATTTCTTGATCGACAGTAATAGTTTGAAAATTACGCGAGGCCAAGTTAATGATTCTGACATATTCTTGGGGCAAATAAATTTTCTCATGTTTTTTCTTTTCTTGCGTTATCCTCCCAAAAGTTCGATCACAGGAGAGAAAACTGTGGCCTAGTTCACAGTCCGGTAGTCAGTGAATTATTACTTCAAATCGTCCCATTTTTACCAGAGTATACAAAAACCGCCCTATAACAGCGTTTTTGTTTTGTAAGCTGCAGTTGTCTAAAAAAATATGCAACTCTCTGATTTTTGCATCTAGTTTAGTTGCAATAAAATGATTTAGCAAACCAACTACAACACTCTGACCCTTTGAACCAGTCAGCTGTTCATACAAATAACAAAAGCTTGTATTTAAGCTGGCAGCGTGAATGCAGAAATTATACACCCATAACTGTCGCTTATAGAAAACATCGACAGCTGCCAGAGAGGGTAGTGGAAAATTTTATTCATCAATAGCAATAGCATCATCATCATCATCAATAGCAAGTGCAGTTTTTTCTTTTATGTCTTTATGTTCTTCTTTTTTATGTTCCAGCTCTAAGGAGATGTAGCTTCTTTTCTGTCTCTAACTGTGTTTTATATCAGCAGTGTCTGCAGCAGGAATTTTTACGTCCTATTCTTCGCAAGTTTGACATGTGTCTGCTTTCGGTTTTCCAAAACTAATGTTGAAAGTTTCAACAAAATATTTCCGATAGTAATCATATTTAACAGTTGGATTTATTTTTCTTTTATTGGTCAAATTGTTGTATTATTGTGGTTTATATATGTCCAAATACAATTCGTACATTTTCGAAATATTTAAAAGTGGAGACAGAAAATAGTGGCCCGTGCGATAATGGCTTTGGCATTTTGGAAAGCTCCTAATGTGGATATCAATTTTATTGTTGATGTCTTGTGATATTGCATTAGGGCTTTTTGAATGTTTCCCATGTTGATACAGGGGTGCAGGAGAATGTGTTTTTAAGTGATTGGCAATACATTCAACACTACTTTTGTTAATGCAATGGATGGACATAAAAGCACGTTTACAAACATTGAAGGTATTGCCACCATGTCTTACCTGTGTGTTTAATGAATAAATCAGTGGATTAAATTTTTACCTAAATGAAATTAAAAATTAATTACATATGTGAAATGTGCACTCTTTGGTTTACTAATCCCATCTTCCACGGCCGCCTGATTGACTTTCTTACATTTTACTGGTGCAGTTGTAATAAGTCCAGCCAAATAAGAATCTTGAAGATTTTTGTTTTGCAACAAGTAAAAACTATTATAAATCTCTTGTACAGTGTCCACGCCAACCTTTTCGAAACATTTGCTTGTACATGAACAAGCGGCTCCTACAACTTTTTCGGGTACAATACGATTTGATGTATTTAACGTTTCTTTCTCCGAATCGCGTTTTACTTTCCGTATGTTTCAAGACCATTGATTTCTATGCACTTTTCGTTTCCGACCGTTCCGATTTTCTAGGTTAGAATCAGCTTCGTGCTGTTCGTTTTCTAAGTGTTCTGCACCCTCTGAAGAAGCACTTTCTTTGACACGTTCACTATCATGTGAATCATAATTACTATCGGTATCAGTCGCGTGTGGATCGGATTCAGTAGCATCACTTACCTGTGACGTGTTTATGTTTACAATCACAATCTACTGAGCATAATATACGGTATACTGCGAGACACTGAACATGTTATGACGTATGACCCCCTATAAAATCAAGGCAGAAATCTGATTCTTGCTCCGAACGATAGACGTGATATTTATTTATGTTCGGTTCTTGCACTGGGGTATTCAATTAAAGTATGAAGATAATTTAAATACCATTTTATAGCTAATTTCGTCCATACTGTTAACACAACCGAAATGTTTCTTTCCTTCCCATAAATCTCGTTGATACAACATTGATAAAAATGTAATTTACAATATCGTATCTCAAGAACGAATGAATTACAATATTATTTCTTTAATTCCACAAATTTAGACATTCTAATTGTTTTTAATTCATCTCTCCATATCCACCTGATGATTCATCCCTGACCAAAATTATATCTTAAGAAGTAATGAAGATGATTTAACTCTTAATACTAGGAACGTATGTATACGTTATACGTATATAGTCTTAAAAATACCCCATAATGGAGGGATTAAACACCATTTTAGAGTAAATTAATCTACTTTCTACACACTACACATGTTTCATTCGTTCTTATAAATTCCGTTGATCCTATCAACGGAATTTTTAATTCAACACATTTAATGAAACATTAATAAATACAATGTGTTGTATATTTATTTAACTTCAGCAGCGTCACCTAAAAGCGGCGAAACTTTAAAATCACATCTAAACCCAACAAGGAAATGGAGAAAATTTTCATTATACTTTACATTGAGACAATCCGGGGACAAACTGTATTCTTACATATGAACAAAGTTAAGAATTATACCATTCCTTTTATAAAATCCAATACAGCTGGTAGAAGGAAATTTCTAGTTTATGATGTTACAGTTGGTCCAACACTAATTCATATTTACGATTACAGTCAAGCTGGCGTCGAAGTAACATCGTTCGACATTAGTCCCCATTACTTGTTATTACAACTTGGGAGAAACTTTCTAATTGTATTAGCGAAACACATTTAAGATTTTATTATCACACATTTCAGTTTTTGTTTAATTTAGGATTTTTCTATATCATATTAAAGTCTTTAATATTTCAAGCCATTGTCCCTAGACTACATATCTCGGAAACCTCTCACGATTTACGTAACGTTACGAACAATACAACACAAAGGGCGTTTATCTTGCCCCCATTTCCGCTAGTGAGGATCTAAGATGAAGAAGGGAGTGGTCGTTTTTCTCTTAAACACAACGCCGGAGGAAGGAACCGGATTAATAGTCCTCGGCGAGTTTTGAACATCGAATATCTCGATGTAAGATAAAACAATTTCCGGGTTGGGTCTTTTCTTTTACAGGTCCTTCGTAATAGTAGGTTTAATTAAGCGGATATCCTGGTGCAACTTTAGGCTGCCGTTGACGATGGATTTATCTGGTAATCGAATCACGGCGATGTGATATTCGTCTACGGTAGGGGACAATGGCACCCGTCCAAAACAATGCGCGTTTCCATTCGAACCGAAAGCCGCAGATAGGCGAGATGTCATTTCGCGTGGAACGGCGGCGTCCAGCGTCCTAATAACGACACCGTAAAATTTCGACGCAAATTGAAATACGATGGCGTATCGAAAAATGTGCGACCCGGTGCATCGTATATCGAGATTTTTTTTTGGGACAGTGTTTTCAGTTGGTTTTCTGGTGGAACTAAAACTCATCTAGCATTTCGATTTATTGAAATCAATGGGTAATGGACCATCGTTTTTAGTTTGTTATTTAAACAAAAATTTAGTGTTCTATAAATTATCAGGCGCGAAAAAAATGGGTATACTCCCAAGTTCATATTAATCCACTTTTCACCTCCATTAGTCATTGCTTTGAAAACGTCTTTTTTGCCTCACCATTAACGGAAGATATATATTCCCTTTGTGTATTGTTCAGAGAACGCGATTCCACACACACACAAACATACACACGGAGAAGTAAATGGTAGATAGCACGCCGAGATATAGAATGGTTGGTAATGGGGCTCAGAGGCGGCAAGAATTTCGACCATCTAGCCCCGATACATCATTGTCGCCGTCTACTTAAATATCCATTAATCAACTTGGTGAAAAATTAAAAGTTGCCGACCACGAACGATCTATCTTTAAGCGAGGAGGCTTTAAGCGGGATATCATTGTCTTGGCCGCAGGCGGATTAACTTTTGCTGGCTCACCTGTATATCGGAGTCCCAAGGTCTTCCTTGTACCAAAGCACCAAAGCTACTTGATCCTGAGAATGAGCCGTCGATATATCACAGGGTAGATAAGCTGGTTCTCCAGCCACGACTTCAATATTTACTGTTGTAACTGAAACAAAATCAATAATAGATAAGTTTTTTGTGGTAGTAAAGTTTTCAAAATGAGATATGTATGATAGTATCAAGAGTATACTATATTAATATTGATTCTAAAATAATTTCATTCAAAAAATAACCAATATAGAATATGTCGTAGAATTAAATTAATTAAAATAGATACATGCAAACAACAGAAATTACTTGTTTAATCGGTAATGATGATAATTATACTAATCAGAGGTAAAGAGTAAATGTGCGGTAGTAATTTATGGTAATAATTACTACAAAAGAGAATAAATTGATTTTGTAGTAATTAAGCAGATTAGATGAAATTCAAAATTTAAATTTAAAATAACGCTAATTTACATTACCGATGTAATTAATTCTATTTTTTCTGAAACATTTCTACATAAGAGAACTAATGTTGCTTTTCCCATAAAATAAATTGTTTGTGGAAAAAAATATTTTAAAGATACGTTAACAAATAACTTCTTCACGCAAAATCTTAATTTTTCTTAAAACGGTTTGATTTTACTGATTCAAATAGAAGTGCTATTTTGATGTGGTACACTCGAAATAATCTAAATTTGCACTCCAACACAAGGGTTAATCGGTGGGTTAAAAGTTAATGGTTGCCAGAATTAAAAAATTGAGATCACAAATAAAATCAGATACTCATTATTTTTTGATTTTTATTTTGAATATGGAGATAGATTTCTCAAACTTTTCTAAATAGGAAAATTAACACTACGATTCTCCAAACATAAATAGTTCTTAGAAAGGATTTTTAAAGATGTTTAATAAATAATCTCTTAACAAAAAAGCTATTAAACACAAAAATTTATTTTTCTTGGAAACGGTTAAGTTTATTTATTTAATAGATGGAATACAAGTTAGTGATTATGAAAATCATCCATTATAACTTCACCGCCACTGCATGTATTTTCATTTTGAAAATTCATTTGGATTTCTCGAACATTTTTAAACAGGAAAAATAATACTTCCATGCTCTATACATAAGTCGTTATTAGAAAGGATTTTTTTAAGAATATGTTTAATAATCAATTTCTTGACGAGAAGTCTGTTAAACAAGAAATATTATTTTTCATGAAAACTGTTGGCTTTTATTGATTAAAATAAGAATATCGTTTTAATAATAATTCAAATTTGTGCATGCCATAAGATTTAATCGGTGGAGCAATGGTGGTGAAAATTGAAAAATTGACGATATCGCGAAACAGACACTGGTTATTAACACTCATAACTTTGCAGCCACTGAATAAATGTTCATTTTGAGAATAGATTTGGAGGCTTCGAGCGTTCTTACATAGAAAAATTAATGCTTCCGTCCGCAAAACTTAAGTCGTTTCCAGAAAGATTTATAAATACATGATTAATAAATTATTTCTTAACAAGAATATTACTAAATACGAAATCTGAAAACTATTGGGTTTATTGATTGTAGTAAAAATATCACTTTGACGTAAAAAACTCCAAATAATTCAAATTTGCGCTACAACATAAGACTTAATCAAAGTAGTGCAAGTTAATTGTTGAAATAATCGAAATTCAGCTCCCATAAGTGGATTAATCCACACTAGTATTGGGTGTTTAGATTTTCATTCTAGTTAAAGAATGCTCTTATTCTCTTGCCACTATTCTGTTTAATAAATCTCTTTATTGTGGTGTTTTCCAACAGTTTGGAAGCAGGCCTATGTTCTTCCTATCTTTAAATCGAGGAACCGTGAAGCTATTTCAAATTATCGCTTAATTTCAAATTTACCAGTATTTGGAAAGATTTCGAGAAATTATTTCAAACTCGACTTTTCTTTGTTATAAAGTCTAAAATCGATTCTAGGCAACATTTTTTTGTCGGCCGCTTTGTCGAGGGAAACTTGTTGGAATCTACTGATTTTAATCTACATTCTATGGATCAAGGTTGTCAGGTTGATTCAATTTATACAGATTTCAGCAAGGCTTTCGACCTAGTTGACCATGGCTTTCTGTTGTCCAAGCTGCAGAAATTTGGATTTCAGGGTCAACTGCTATTATTTGATAGAAGATCCACAGCTTCTTTTATAAGTGCTACAATCCAAATACTGCATTTTGCTTTCGATTATTACTTAGTACTCCTAACTATTGCAATATCGTTTTTTGCCCGCAATACCAAATGTACATATCCAGGATTGAAAGAAATCAAAAGAATTTTGTAAAATACTTATGTATTAAATGCTCAATACGATACTCTGACTATGACTTTTTTTACAAGCATTTCACGATTATAACTTTTAGCCAGCGTCGTGCTTGCGGTGATGTACTCTTCTTCTTTAAGCTTCTACATAATATATGTGTTCATTTTTCACTCCTCAGTGGTATTAATATGCATGTTCCCCACGTTTACTCCGTTTCGGCTTTTTGTTCTTTACTCCGACTCCTTTTATCGTTCAGACGAGCACTGTTTGCTTCATTGTATGAATAGCCTTTTTGCCTCGCGCAAATCTGCTTATACTTTGTTATTTTTTCGATATTTTGTTAACTATGTATACATTTTGCTTCAAAGACAACTGTTCCGTAGTAGGTACGAGCATCAACGAACCAAAAAGCCACATTAAGTTGTCCTTAACCTCGGATACAACGATTATTCAAACTGAAGTTCTTGACATAAACTCCTCCACCATTTTGAACCTTGAAAAGGGACAGAAAGAAGCGTCAATAAACATCTTTACGGACAGTCAGGCCACCCTAAATGCAATTCAGGCCTACACGTGTGTTCTAGAATGTACCGCCAAAATGGGGAATCTCGCTAGGAGTAATGAAGTTACTCTATGGTGGGTCCCAGGTCACAACGATATTGAGGTCAATGAAAATGCGGGCAAGCTAGCCAAAGAGGCGGAAAGGACGCCATTTATTAGACNAGAAAGGATTTTTAAAGATGTTTAATAAATAATCTCTTAACAAGAAAGCTAGTAAACACAGAAAATTTATTTTTCTTGGAAACGGTTAAGTTTATTTATTTAATAGATGGAATACAAGTTAGTGATTATGAAAATCATCCATTATAACTTCACCGCCACTGCATGGATTTTCATTTTGAAAATTCATTTAGATTTCTCGAATATTTTTAAACAGGAAAAATAATACTTCCATGCTCTATACATAAGTCGTTATTAGAAAGGATTTTTTTAAGAATATGTTTAATAATCAATTTCTTGACGAGAAGTCTGTTAAACAAGAAATATTATTTTTCATGAAAACTGTTGGCTTTTATTGATTAAAATAAGAATATCGTTTTAATAATAATTCAAATTTGTGCATGCCATAAGATTTAATCGGTGGAGCAATGGTGGTGAAAATTGAAAAATTGACGATATCGCGAAACAGACACTGGTTATTAACACTCATAACTTTGCAGCCACTGAATAAATGTTCATTTTGAGAATAGATTTGGAGGCTTCGAGCGTTCTTACATAGAAAAATTAATGCTTCCGTCCGCAAAACTTAAGTCGTTTCCAGAAAGATTTATAAATACATGATTAATAAATTATTTCTTAACAAGAATATTACTAAATACGAAATCTGAAAACTATTGGGTTTATTGATTGTAGTAAAAATATCACTTTGACGTAAAAAACTCCAAATAATTCAAATTTGCGCTACAACATAAGACTTAATCAAAGTAGTGCAAGTTAATTGTTGAAATAATCGAAATTCAGCTCCCATAAGTGGATTAATCCACACTAGTATTGGGTGTGTAGATTTTCATTCTAGTTAAAGAATGCTCTTATTCTCTTGCCACTATTCTGTTTAACAAATGTCTTTATTGTGGTGTTTTTCCAACGGTTTGGAAGCAGGCCTATGTTCTTCCTATCTTTAAATCGAGGAACCGTGGAGCTATTTCAAATTATCGCTCAATTTCAATTTTACCAGTATTTGGAAAGATTTCGAGAAATTATTTCAAACTCGACTTTTCTTTGTTATAAAGTCTAAAATCGATTCTAGGCAACATTTTTTTGTCGGCCGCTTTGTCGAGGGAAAGTTGTTGGAATCTACTGATTTTATTCTACATTCTATGGATCAAGGTTGTCAGGTTGATTCAATTTATACAGATTTCAGCAAGGCTTTCGACCTAGTTGACCATGGCTTTCTGTTGTCCAAGCTGCAGAAATTTGGATTTCAGGGTCAACTGCTATTATTTGATAGAAGATCCACAGCTTCTTTTATAAGTGCTACAATCCAAATACTGCATTTTGCTTTCGATTACTACTTAGTACTCCTAACTATTGCAATATCGTTTTTTGCCCGCAATACCAAATGTACATATCCAGGATTGAAAGCATTCAAAAGAATTTTGTAAAATACTTATGTATTAAATGCTCAATACGATACTCTGACTATGACTTTTTTTACAAGCATTTCACGATTATAACTTTTAGCCAGCGTCGTGCTTGCGGTGATGTACTCTTCTTCTTTAAGCTTCTACATAATATATGTGATAATTTTTCACTCCTCAGTGGTATTAATATGCATGTTCCCCACGTTTACTCCGTTTCGGCTTTTTGTTCTTTACTCCGACTCCTTTTACCGTTCAGACGAGCACTGTTTGCCTCATTGTATAAACAGCCTTTTTGCCTCGTGCAAATCTGCTTATACTTTGTTATTTTTTCGATATTTTGTTAACTATGTATACATTATGCTTCAAAGACAGCTGTTCCGTAGTAGGTATGAGCATCAACGAACCAAAATGCCACATTAAGTTGTCCTTAACCTCGGATACAACGATTATTCAAACTGAAGTTCTTGACATAAACTCCTCCACCATTTTGAACCTTGAAAAGGGACAGAAAGAAGCGTCAATAAACATCTTTACGGACAGTCAGGCCACCCTAAATGCAATTCAGGCCTACACGTGTGTCCTAGAATGTACCGCCAAAATGGGGAATCTCGCTAGGAGTAATGAAGTTACTCTATGGTGGGTCCCAGGTCACAACGATATTGAGGTCAATGAAAATG